TTGAGGATTTTTTGATGAATAAAACAATTCAAAAGAACCGCAATTATTTTAACTTGAAATCTTTCAGAACCTTATAAATGTCTTTATTGTCATTTTATGCATCAATTTAATGCATTCTTGCTGAATAAAAGTATACATTTTTTTGTTTAAAAAAAAAAAAAAATCTTATTGACCTCGAATTTTGAATGGTAAATGGACAAATATTTAAGTACTCAAAAAAAAAAGATGACAATTAAACAATTACAACATGATAAAACTATTTTAAAATGGTATATATTTAAAGCTATTAATACAAACGTTTACTTTTATATAAAAAATAGTATTTTTGTGTGGAGAAATAAATTCAATTAGAGAGACAATGACAAATTACATTTAAAAAAAAGAGACCAACAAAAAATGGAGGACACGTGTTTTATAAATATAAAAATAGTTTTCCGTTGTATTCTCTGTACAGAAAATCTGTAAATTTCACATACATTAATAATTAAAACATTGACCTTTTTGTATTACAGTTTGTGCATGCTGCATGTACAGTTCCGTTAACTTAAAAGTCTTTTAGATCAAAATAAGCAAAAGTGCATTTCTATGGAAGAATAGGTGTTTCACTTAAAGAAATTAATTATTAATTTATACACTGAAAAATAAAAATAAACTGCATCTCAACTTACCAAAAAAAATTTATGTTTTAAAATGGAGCTAAATAAACTATTTAAATGTTAAAACAGAATTTTAAAGGGATAGTTCACCCAAAAATGAAATGTGATGTTTATCTGCTTACCCCCAGTCATCCAATATGTAGGTGACATTGTTTCTTCAGTAGAACACATATGATGATTTTTAACTTTAACCGTTGCAGTCTATCAGTCGTATAATGCATGGCAATAGTAACAAAATCTATGAGAGTAAAAAAAACATGCACATACAAATCCAAATTAAACCCTGTGGTTTGTGACGACACATTGATGTCCTAAGACACGAAACGATCGGTTTGTGCCAGAAACCCAACAGTATTTATATAATATTTTACCTCTAATACACCACTATGTCCAGCTGTCTTTGGGCGCGCGCATGGCATCCGGTGCGTGAGGTGTGTACGCGCTCTGGCGTAGTTTACGTTAATGGGTGTGTTGATATCCAGCCGAAGAGCAATCAACCATAACTTCAGGCGAGCAGGCTCAGAAGTTGGGAATATGTGGAAAGTCACCACTCCTGAATGAGTACACGCGAGAGAATGTAATTTTTTTGTTTGAAGTCGGTTTGAACAATCCGGATAAGCGCAAGTAAGTAAGTACCAGATTAGCCGTCGTACCTACAATGACTGTGCACTGTGTAAACAATGAGTGACGTATATTCATTCGCAGCAGCTGCATCTCCACAGGACTAGACGCCTTCACTGCTACTTGCTGAACTGCTCAAGTGCTTTGACTAGATCCCAGGTAATGGCATTGTGAACCACCACACAGTGAACACCTAAAAGAGCAGGAATCAGCTGCTGATTCAACCGAACAAACAATCTGCAACTTTCACTGTACAGTTACAGATCTCTGAAGCAGCTATAAAGGTTTGCTGAGGAGAGTAAGCAGAAACTTACCAAGCCTGCAAACCTCCACGATGTTCCTATCCTCATCATCAAAGAATAATCATGTCAGAAAGCTGGGCGCCACTGTCAGCTTTCAGCCTGGAGACAGAACAACAGTCAGACAGACTGAGGTACTGTGAGCGAGACGTCGCATGCAAAGACAGACGCACACACTATTGTGCCACTTTGATTTTGAATAGAATTGTGAAATTAAACCACTGGTTACAGTATGGAATGATTAAGATATATATTTTTGTAATGTTTATGAAAGGTTTTTGTTCTCCCAGGTGCATTTATTTGATCAAAAGCTCAGTAAAAACAGCAATATTGTGAAATATTATTACAATTTAAAATAACTGTGTTATATTTGTAAAATGTAATTTATTCCTGTGATGCGAAGCTGAATTGTCAGCATCATTACTCCAGTTTTCAGTGTCACATGATCCTTCAGAAATCATTCTAATATGCTGCTCTACAAACATTTATTATTATTATTATCAACAGTCTGGGTGCTTAATATTTTTATGGAAACTTTTTTTCAGGATTTATTGATGAATAGAAAGTTCTATTTCAAGTTTGAAATATAAATATGTTGTAGCTAAATGTCTTTACTGACACTTTTGATCAATTTAAAGTGTTCTTGTAGAACTTTTTTTTTAATCTTGTGCAAAAAAAAGGAAAAACTGTTTTCAAAATTGACTAGTACATTTTTTTTAATATAAAAAAATAATAATTATTCCAAGCTTTTGACTGGTAATGTATATATTATAATTACATTTGTACATATTCTAAAGAAATTGAATGATGCTAGAATGTTATGGTGGTTGCCAAGTCATTGCTATAGAGTTACTTAAATGTTAAACTTAAATGTTTTAGTATTGCTTTGTGGTTACTAGGGGGTTTACCAATTACCAGTCAAATTCAAAAGTCCTTTCTGTACCTTTTAAAATGAGTGACCTTTGAACCGGGGTAGATCTCCTTGAAGGAAATGTATTGGTCAAGTTTATAGAGTGACAACAGCTGATTGGCTCCTTCAGTCTCGCTGGTTCTTTGAGAAAAATAAAATAAATACAGCTCTATATATATAGAGCAGCTCTCTCTCTCTCTCTCTATATATATAATTTAGAACATCATCTAGTCAATGTGTGCTCATTTGATCATTTGCAAACTTACCGCGATGCAATGCATAAACCCCTGACTATGCAGTGAGCTCAGGAACTTTTCAGTATTGTGATAAATGGGAACCTTGGCAAATATTGAATCCCGCACCGTGCCGCTGGAGAAGCAGGAGATGAGTAAGTGTGTGTCAGCAAAAACTTCAGGATAAATGTCTTGGTCTTGAAGTATGTTAAGGGAGAACAAACAATGACTGAAGCTGAAGAGGACAAACCTGTCTGAAAAGGTGAATCAACATGGGTGTCGACCCACAAAGGCCAAAGGGTGTACCAATCTTTGAATCTCTGTCAGAGATGTGCAACAGTCAGTTACTGTTTGCAGATACCATAGGAATGAATGAGAATCGCCGTAAACAGAATCGGCATTGCCTTTATCACTGTATAGAATACTACAAAATAATATGATTTATGCTTCATTTTGTGATAAGAAGTCACATCAGTTGAAAAAGGGAAATTATTTCAAACCGATTGCCATTAAGTGTAATTGTTCCTTTTGTATGAAATAGGAAATAGGAATCAGACATACACAGATGAAATATACATTATATAATACACACACACTTTATATTTCTATATATAAAGATAATCAAACAAACAGCACCCCTACACACACACACACACACACACACACACACACACACATTTTTGCATTCATATAATATCACACACAAGAAAAAATGGCACAGTTTTTAATTACTACAGTACCAATGACATCAACCATATTCTGTGGTCTCTACAGTATGAAAATATGAGGAAGTATATTTATCTTCTCAATCATTAGGTTTATTGGTAACACTTTACAATAAGGTTGTATTTTGTTGACATTAGTTAATGTATTAACATGAACTAACAATGAACAATACATTTGTTACAGTATTTATTAATCTTTGTTAATGTTAATGAAAATACAGTTATTCATTGTTCATGTTAGTTCACAGTGCATTAACTAATGTCCCTAAATGCATCTTTTGATTTTAATAATCTATTAGTAAATGTTGAAATTAACATTAACTAAGATCAATAAATGCTGTAGAAGTATTATTTTGGCATATCATGGTTACCATTGTAGTGTTTTTGCAAGAGACAGAAAAATATAAACAAAACAAAATATCATAGGAATGCTATTTCTCCATCCTCTTGTATCAAACTCTTCATCACACTCAAAGCTTTTGTGCAAGATACTGTATGTTAGTGGACTAATGTATGGAATAGTGAATGAGGGAAGTAGAAGTTAGGAGGTGCATGGCAAATAATAAGAAGTAAGTGATCGTATGAGTAATATTAAAGGGAATACTAATATGATTTTATATAGTTTTATAGTACTTGTTTATATCAACATTATATTTTAATAGTATTCATTATTGTATCTTATTTTATTAATAATCAGGGTTAATGGTAAATAAATGACCAGTTTATCAAATTTAAATCATACCTGACAAGTATGAAGTCAAGTCAAGTCAAGTCAAGTCTGCTTTATTGTCAATTCTTCGACATGTACAGCACATACACACAGAGAATTGAAATTGCGTTACTCTCAGACCCTTGGTGCATACAGATAACACTAACAGTAGAACATAAATACAGATTTAAATATAAAATACAACTATACAATTATACAAATAAGGTAAAATGTAAAAAAAAATATAAAGCAGCACAAGGCGCATGGCAGAAAGAGTGCAAACCAGTGAAGTTTAACCAGCGATTCTCATTCATTCCTATGGTATCTGCAAACAGTAACTGAAGCCATAAAAACAAAAGTCATAAATTATATTCTCACTTTTTCCTCTTCATTGTTTTGTTTTTTTTTTGAATATATTTAGTGGACAGAAATACCTATGTAATGGTAGTCATGTTGTATTTTGATTGTATATACTGAGAATAAACTCAAATCCAGGGAACTTCTTATATAAATGCAAGACCAAATCAAACAGGAACACCAAAAACAATGCTTCACAAAATGTCATATTTATTTAGTCATTTAGCAGAAGCTTTTATCCAAAGCGACTTACAAATGAGGACAATAAAAGCAGTCAAAACTAACAAAAGAGCAACAATATATAAGTGCAAATAACAAGTCTCGGTTAGCCTAACGCAGTACACGTAGCAAGGTGTATATATATATATATATATATATATATATATATATATATATATATATATATATATATATACACACACATATACATAGATAGATTATATATTACAAACATATATTTGTAATATTTTATTCAAATTCATGTGCAAATAGTTTAAGAGTTAGTAATTATTAAATAGTCCGTGCTCTATGTTTTTAGCGGCACTTTGCTGCCTGGTTGCCCTGTAGCTGTTGTTTTCGCTGCTCCACATGTTCGGCATTAAGGGACATCAGCTGCGTCAGGAAGCTTATGGAGGGCTTGATGTGTCGCATCTTTATGACGTGATCAATGGCTTCGTCCACCATCATGTCATGGTGGATCATCAGATATGCCAGCAAACATGTAGGGGACTGGCTGACACCATGACTGCAGTGAATTAACACCTTATCTGTGAACATAAATACAGAAAGACGAATTCCCCAAACAATTTGTCACTTTAGAACACTTGATAAAAACGATCTTAATTTCTGGGTTCCTCAGGGCCTTGTGAATGAATTTGGCAGCTGGTAAGAAGTACATGCCCATGTTGAAACCGTCTCTGTGTGTTGTGGCCGAGCCACAAAATTTGATGTTCATGCCTCTGTAATATTTCGCCCCTGTATTTATCTTTCCTTTCAGGTCTTTCTCTGTTGGCATTCCCATCAGGACCCTCAGCTTCTTCTTAACTGCTGCAGCATTTAAGATGTGGTTAATACCCATCTCTTTGAGTTTGGTTCGGTCCCTTGCTGTGTCTCTGCACAAGAACACAACAACCTAAATGAACCTTTCAGTAAAGAGGATTTACATTGTAAAAATACAATTGTGTTTGATTCCTGCATTACATTATTGCTTTATCACATGGTTTATATTCGTCTATATGAGTTGCAGACTTACCCATTTCCCAAGAAGATGTTGGGCCAGACCTCAGTGACAGGTGTCTCAGACAGTATACATTCCTCCAAACGGTTTTTCAACTGGGAAATGTTTTGAGGAATATAGTTCTCTAACACTGAAAGCTCTGTCACTTGAGGTTCCTGCTCGGGAACGCTTGCTCCTGGGACACACGGCGGCTCTGGAAGAGTAGGATTCTTCTGAGGCTGTGCTGAGATCGCTTTTGGAAGAACGCACTCATTTTTTTATCTTCCTCACTTTGGCATATTCTGAAAAAGAAGACTGTATGTTATTAGAAACATATCTAACAACAGATTAAACATGAATAGTTTGGAATATATTTCTGTTTGCATGCCATTATAATGTAAAGCAACTCAAATGCTCTGTTGACATTCACCTGTTGGGATGTCCTCCTCAGGGGTTTTAGGAGAAGCATCAGTGCCACTCTGATCGTTCCCACTGCTGCTCCCTCCCACTTCTGCTGAAGGGCCTGCTGGTTCGGTCAGATCTTCAGACACCAGTATTGGGCTCCTCAGCTTCGAGATGGCATCGCTGATGTCATCCACCAAACCTTCTGAGGATGAAGGTCCCGATTCAAAACTGCTCGGATCTGGGATACACCATTCCTCGGTATTGACCGGATCCAGTTCAGGTTTCATTGGTTCAGATGTTGAGGACAAAGGTTCAGGAGCGCTTGCAGCTGGGACACACAGTGACTCATCCGGATCCGGCTGCGCTGAGATCCCATAACGCTTTTGGAAGAACACACTAATTGTCTTCCTCACTTTGGCATATTCTAAAAAAATAAGAAAAACAGTATTTTATTAGAAACATCTATAACCACAGATTAAACATGAATAATTAAAGTGTGGACGCATTTACTGTTTAGCAAAATCAAACGACGGCCAAAAACATTTCTTATGCAAATTACATTCACATTCAAGTTGGTCACTTGAATTCACCACGCTGACCAAAAATAGGTCACCATGCTGGTTCGAAATAGGGGTGTAAAGGGTTCAACACGTACATGTTCTGCACATTTAGTCCGACATTTTTATTTGCAACTCAATGCAATGTTGCATTTCAACTGCTCTGTTGATATTTACCTATTGGGATGTCTCTTAGCGATTTCAAGAGAAGCATCCATGCCACCCTGACCGATCTCACTGCTGCTTCCTGCCTCCTCACACAGCGACTCATAAACAGCCGGATCAGTCTTAGGCTGTGCTGAGATCCCAGACCGGAAGAACTCACTAATGGTCTTCCTCACTTTGGCAAATTCTGTAAAAGAAGAAAAACAACATGTTATTCGAAACACGTCTAACCACAGATGAAACATGAGTAATTAAAGTGTGGTCACGTTTACTGTTGCTTGGGGGAAAAAAAATTCCTTACGCAGACTTTGCTTATCAATTCACCATGCTGACCAGTAGAAAGCTGCTTGGTTTGAAATAGGGGTGTAACAGGTTCAGCACGCATGCGTACCTAATGAATGCAGCCTAGTTTTAACCACTGTACATGTAGAACTTCTCTGTGTGCGGAATCTAATTTGTGTGAGCTGTGCTCACAATGGATCTTTTTTGCCAGTTAAATTTCACTGATATGATGGCACCTTTAGTCCAAAAATTATTATTATTATTATTTTTTGCAATTCAATGCAATGTTGCAATTCAACTGTTCTGTTGATATTTACTTATTGGGATGTCCTCCTCAGAGATTTCAGAAGAAGCATCCATGCCAACTTGACCAGTCTCATTGCTGATCCCTGCCACTTCGCATGACAACTCGGAAACATCCGGATCAGTCTTAGGCTGTGCTGAAATCCCAGTCTGGAAGAACTCACTGATTGTCTTCCTCACTTTGGCAAATTCTGGAAAAGAGGAACAGTATGTTATTGGAAACACATCTAACCACAGAATAAAGTGTGGTCATGTTGACTGTTGCTCAGCAAAATCAAGTGAGAGCAAAACAATTTCCTCCACAGATTTCGCTCATTTTTACATGGGTCACTTAAATTTTCCATTTACAACAAAGACAAACTGCAACACAAGGAGTGCTTTTTAGAAGTAATGCCAGACTGTTTGCATTTTTGTGCATCTTTACACCTCTAGGCTGAAAGTGAGATCTGTGTCAGCTGTGCTCACAATGGACCTTTTTTTTTTGCCAGCGAAATGTCGCTAAAATATCACTAATGTGACTGAACATTTGGTCCGACATTTTTATTTGCAACTCATTGCAATTTTGGATTTCAACTGCTCTGTTCTCAGTTACCTGTTGGGATGACCTCCTCAGAGGTTTCAGGAGAAGCATTCATGCCATCCTGATCGACCTCACTGCTGCTTCCTGCCACTTCTGTGGAAGGCCCTGCTGGATTGGTCAGCAACACCGGCTGCGAGATAGCATCCTTGAAGTCAGCCTCCAGCTGCACATCTTTCTTCTCACAGGAGACTGCGTCGTTCATGACAACCTCTAGCTGCACATCTATGTCTTCCGGTTTATAGCAATCAAAATGGTCATAGATGGCACGGGTGATCTCCGACTCCACATCTTCCTCATCTGAAGCCCAGTAACTGCAGTAGAAGGCACCATTGTCATAGACCTCCACAAGCACTTCTCCCAGTTCTGAAGACATGATGGTGTCTGGTGTTTTGGATCTGATACTGTCAGTTCAAACGGTATCTGATAATGTCAGATGTAGAGTTTTCAGATTGTATGTGAAACACTAGTACAGATTGAGTCTATGTACTGTATGTATATACAGGAGAGTGTACGGTCTGTATTGGTACACTTTCACTCAGACTCTGTTTCTGCTCAGAATCATCGATGTGAAGAGATTCTGCAAGTATGTCTAATTAGTCTGTTCTGTGGCGGCAAGTGACGTCATAAAATGATGTGTCTAATTGTCGTTCCACAGTTGCCATAGAAACAGCAGCGGAATCCAGTCACGTGGGCGATACAATTATTTACCTGTTTACCTTGTATCGTTTCTATCGCGACTATTTGCAAATAATATTTTAAAATATGCACATACACTTTTAATTGTATACTTAATGTAGCTACGTTCCTTAGAATTTGCATGACTGATGGAAATTATACCATATTTTCAATTCAAAACGGCCATATTTGAGAAAAAAGTTGAATAGTTTGTGTTGGTCGTAACATTTCTATCCTAAATAGTTGTCAAATATTAAATGCTTGGCTACTTCCATCTTACCTCACTATCTTTCAACAATATGTCACACAAGCGTTTAGATCTGTGAAATATCTCTGTAGTCTGTACATCGTTGCACTGACATCCAATGCAGTGCAACAAAATCATATAAGTTAGGTATTTATTATGTCTATGGATACATCCAGCGGCAGAACCGCAGAACCACAACCTATTCTTTTGTAACAACGCCACCTACCGAATTTAATCACTAAAGATGGACGACATGGACAGCAATCAGAGTGAGCAACTTTACCGATTTTCATATCCCATTCTATTAACCAATGTCTTTGCCTTTGACCTTCGATGATCCAGTTCAACCATACTAATAAGCACAAATTACTCTAGACAAACATTTGTGTGTCTTTTT